TCCCTCATCCACGTGAACGCTTCTCCAGTCGTGCATCTGTCACTAGCAGTGCCTCATGCTCCATTACTGGTAGTTTTCCGGATCCAGATTACCGTGTCATATCGTTGCATGATAAACCAAAGCCTGGCAAATTGGCAGATTTCATTCCGGAAGTGGAGCGAAAAGCTAGAATCGGTAGCAGCTTTGACCAGGACGACGGTGCTTCTGCCTACAGCTCTAGCTTCTCCAGACGAGGTTTGGCTTGTAAATTTATTAGCCTAACGATTCCCTCATTTGCACCGATAAATGATTCTTGCTTTTCATAATTCGTTTGCCGTTATAAGCTCTCATCATTGCTGCACACTCCCATTGCATGTTCCGGAATGCGCCTGAATTATCTTGCAGCGCTTCGAATGTATCGCTCTTTTCTTGTAATAAAACTTCTGTAATATGTAGCCAGGATCATCTAAGCTGGGCAGTGATAAACTCAGCTACCTAACTTCCTCACTCAAGAAATACTGAGAAAAGAGGGACTGATTTCCTATTTGTCTGTCGTGCATGAATTCTCAGCAAAGCTATTCTGGATAATTCAGTACAAACACATTTGGTGTCAGCAAAATTATCCCTACAAATTCTGTCAGTGTTCAAATGAAAAACAGTTGCAGGAAGCGATGTTGATGGTACCATTGACGAGGATGGCGAAGCACCGCGTGTACTCAGAAACTACGATGTTGTTCCTGTTCGAAGTGTGACAACATCGCCTATACAGCACAAAGTAAAGCTTCCTCCAGCTATGCGCAGAATTGAAAATTAATTTTTTGATGTTTTTGATAAGCTGCGAATAAAGCTCACCTCCTACATCTCAGGACAAAATTATTGATATTCCTAAGAAAATGAGCTCTGCTGGTGCCAATATTTCTCTGTTAAGAGTACTTATACCTGGCTCCACAAACCTGCCATCTTACCTGCTTGAAAGTTTCTTCTGTTCAAATTAATACATAAATACCTTATAAAAGTTGTTACATGAGCCAGCAAATAAGAAGCAGTTTTAGATCAGTTACTGGATGAAAAAAGATGAGGAAGCAACAATGTCACTGCCACGAAATATTTCTGGAGGCGAATATCGCCGGAATGGTTTTGTGGTGCCACAATCGCGTCCAGTTGCCGCCAGTGCTACCAACATTTCAGAGATTCAGGTAATGGTCGAAAATGAAAAGACCGCTGAATCATAATATGTTTTAGATTTTTTCACGGATAGTCGTTTTAACCCATGCCGCATCGCTTTTTGTTCAGCCTTTTGGCAAAGCTTAAACCTGAGCATCATCATCTCGTCTCATGTGCGATCATTCCGAGACCACGGTGTAATTTCTTGCCGTCCATGTAAAATTCAGATCTGTATGAAAAAATTTATGAGTCAGCTGAAAATGCGGTCAGACTCAATGTAAACAAAAATTAATGTTAGCCGTGACTGATGTCCGCTTTTTCATGGCGATAATGAATTGCTTTCAACAACCACCCCAAGGAATTGCTTTCAACAAGCATCCCAAAGCAATATCCAAACTGCGCTCGGTCCGAGACTAAATGCAACCTGATAAACGAAATTAACTAAAATCTAAGTTCCATTTACTGCAAGAAGCGTGGATGTGAAGTAGGAGGAGTGATAATGCACTTTCAAGCAGCGAATAATCACTTGCGGATTCCTGAAAGTTTCATTTTCCATTGTTTTTTTTTTTTTAATAAACAAATTAATAGTTGCGGCTGAATCCATAGCACATGGCGATAAAAATTTGCCATCGAAACGAATGAGCGAATCGTGAACGAATGAATGATAGCGGTAGAATTGAACAGTTATTCTGAGACTAACAAACAGTATTTTACTTGTCACTACTTTAAGCTTTTAGGCATTTCAGTGGAACAAATTTCCAATATTTTTCTAGAAATACGGAACTTTTCACTCATTCAGATCAGCTGTTATTTGATCATCATGTTTCTTCTCAGCACTGATGCAGTCTAGCAATTTCGTCATTTTTCTCTGTGAACCTCTTTCATCTACAGAAGCGCACATTCTTCTACAACAGTGGCGGCCTTCCTTGTTCTCAGTTAACTTGCACGAGTACCACTGAATGATCATATGTTTAAGAATAACATTTTAGCCAGACAGTACGAACGATAATGACGGAGGGAGTAGTGGCGTTCGTGAAGCAAATGCCTCCTCACCAATGGTATGTTTCATTATTGTCCTTTTTTCCAGGCATGCTTCATTTTTTTCCTAAGTTCTTGCAGTTGATAAGCGTTGCTCGTTGAATTTACGCACTGATATGCCAACTTCTGTTGCTCATTTGATGTTTCTTCCAGCATGCCACTATTTCTAGGAAATATTCCTAAAAAACTTTCTTTTGTCCATCCACGTGATGATTCTATTCACGTTATTTCCATGCAGTTACACTGTATGGTGCATCCCTCAGTTCATTTATTTTCTTCTTAATATTATAGTAACAGCATGAACAAACGTCTGGAGCAACCACAGCTAATGAGCAGGCACCTGCAGGAAAATTACATTCTAATTACAATCACAAAGGTTACATCCAAACTTCTGCGTTGTATAGTGACTCAAACTTCTGGAACTTGAATTATTCTCGTCAACGATTTACAATGGTAGTACCTTAGCTTAATATGTTTTCACTGTATAGCTATTCTGAAGTTACGGTTTAGTGAAATTGATTATTAGGCCCTTTTGCTCCCTCATCCATCTTTTCTTCATTTCTTTCATAAAGCAAGAAACAGTGAGACTCGAATTTGATCAGATCTGGAAGTGTTTTGTTTCGTGCAGTTCGGTGGTTTCCAAATTTGCACATGGTCAAAGACATTTTTTGTAAATTTCGAACTTCTAGTTCTCGTAATTCTAAAATTCGGTACTTCGGTCAGGATTATCTAACCATCATGCTTTTTACGCATTTTCCGACTGTCGCTGTAGCGTGCATTACCCATTTTGATCTCCCCTCCCCCTTCTCCCTCCCCCTCCCCATTCTTTGCAGCTGTAACTGAAGCGCAGTCAAAAATGCAGTATGAATTTTAAGAAAACAGCGCAGCTGGCCACCATTTGCAAGTTGGAAGTAGTAGAATAGAAGGGATTGGACTAAATGTCATGTAAGAAATGTTATGATGCAGTCTGCGTTTCATCCTGTAGCTGTAAACACACACCGAACTTTGAATGCTGTTAACAGCTGGAATTTGAATGCCAGCTTAGCCACTTACCCACTCTGTGCTGAATTGTCATGTGACTAATTTGCAAGACGGATATGCGAAAGAAAGATAAAGCAGCGAGAGAACAGAGAGAGTAAGAGCAGAGAGAAAGAGCAAGTTAACTCGTGGCACAGGCAGTCATTGTCTGTCAATTGTGAGCCGGAATTTTTTATGAGAATAATGTGATGACTAGGCGTTTAATTCCTGAATCGTTAGGAAAATGGACTTGCTGAATCGAGCAGGGAATGTAAAGGTTAGAAAAGCACTCAGCACTTCAAAAACAGGGCAAGTACTGGCAAAATAGGTATATTCATCAATGTTGATGCCAAAGAAGGGGAACCGCCAGGGCATACAGTTGCGTTTGTGACCACATATTTACAGGAATTCATTTCTAATTTCTCTTCAGAGTCGAAGTAATTCCTAACGAAAGCCTAATAAGCAGATTTCAGAAAGTGGTATGCCACTAGAGACTGCATTTTTGCGGAAAAGCAGTTGATAAAAAAGTGCATGAATATAAAGTTCTTTTATGTTTGCTTTTCGTTAGATTCAAGAAAACTTTCGACCCATTGCAGTATAATGCTGTACTTTTATGTTCCCTTAGATCAGCAAATCGATCCGGCGCACATTCGGATAATTGAAGATTACGAAAACGGGATGTACACAAAATGTCTTTTCGAAAAGCAGGTCTTGTTGGAGGTGCGAAACAGGAAGACACTTGTTTTCTGAAAGCCTTTACCAATGCTGTTAAAAAATTCCTGCGAGAAACTGGAACACCAAATGGTAACAGTGCCCATTCTACAGGCGAAGCCATATTCATCGCAGAAACACATTGATTTTTTAAAATCTGTTGAATGAGTTTTGGACGGAAGTAAAGGAAATTACACTCCAAAGTCACCAGAAAAGAAAATATATGGGTAAAAAACAGATGCTGCCTCCGGATTCACAATTTGTCCCTGAAGCCATTCGACCAGTTCTTCTTACACACAAGGAAATTTGAATACGATCTTTCCTGTATTTTTCAGCTGTCATACGTGCAAACAAGTCGTTGCGTTCTCTCGTATTAACGTCGCACCCTTTTTGATCTTAAAATTCTAGCATTACTGTGTTAGCTGTACAAGTGATGTAATAGATTCGAACGGCTTAATTAACTGAAAAAAAATGTTATTTTATCCTTTTTACATCTTTGCATCCTCTAGAATTCAGCATACTCAGGATGAGGAAAAAGGAAAGCGAGGAAACTTGCACCTCATCGTGTTTTATGGAGGTGAAGGGGGGAGGGAGAGGGAGAGCGGAGCGAAGGAAAACGAAACCAGTCGCAGAAGATAAAAAATAAGGGGCAAAAATTTGAGCTAAGAACTTCTAAAATTTTATGAAAGCGATGCAGAATTGAGCCATTAGTAAAAAAAAAGCATTAAATTGCTTTAAAGCGAATAACTGCGTCCAGATATGGAATGCAAAAACTTACAAACACTGCGTCTATTAGTTCCGGTAAGATCGTCGGAACTAGGATTATTTTTCCAGAAGCTGGATATGATGTTGCATCAGATAATTAATTTAGCACTCAGTCTGTTCCTCGTTTGAACCATATCCTTAATTTTGTTCTTTTGTTTGCTAAGTAGCACGTAAGAAACAATGTCGCATGTCTGGGCACTGACACAAGCATGCCTGTTTTGCGCAACTTTGTCTATAATTTTTTGTGATATATGATTTGAAATTGCACAGCTAAGCACTGAAAATAAGAACTGATAATCATCCGTCAGTGTTCGAGAGCCTGAAAGTTGATTTCCCCTATACGCATAATCAGTGGCTGTGCTAGCTTCCGATAGCTTATGCAGTTTCATATTTGTATACCAAGAATAGCACGAACGTCCGAAGAACCGGGGTGGGTATCCCGTGTTAGTGATGTTACTGAAATATTTCTGCTCGTCTGTGCCAGGTCCTTAGATCCTGGACTGCACATATGCAGTTAGCAATCACTTCCTTGTTCGTCGTTTGTTCATCATCTCTGGAAGTTGGGGGAGGAGGGGGGAGGGGAAGAATTAGAAGCGGGGGGAGGGTCAAGCGGTCGTTCTCTTCTTTGTGAGTACCACTAATTAATGCGTCACGTTCGTTTGAGAAAAAAAAAAACATGTTCAGCAATATTATGAAATAGAGAAGTATACTGTTAGGACTACCACTTATCAATTCTTCTGCCGCGTAATCTTCACAAAATTACACACTGAATGGAACCGAACATTCGGCTCGCGACTTTGACAACGTGAAGGACGAAAACTTAAAATTCAGCTTTTTATTCATCCCAGTTCGTGATTTGAATTATATAAACATTTGGAAAAACAATCGAGAGGGTTGCACACATTTTTTGCTGCTATGTCCTCGTGACTTAAGTGATTAGTGCTCATATGAAGTTAATATTGTTCTGGACGGATCCGTTGATTTCTCTAGTTACCGAAGTAAGGTTTCACAAGCCTATCGTTCTTTTCATTTTCCAACTGCACGGCCAACTCTGCCCCACCGTGAACACCCTGTACTGCACCGCAGTTTCCGTCACGTCCACTGAGAAATTTGTCTTCGGAAATTTTTCACACTAAAAGCAACATCATACAATTGCAGCTAGAATCGGTGCATGTAGATAGTTTATGTGTGGAAGCCAGAAATCTCGAAAATCAGGAAGTCTCTGAAGGCGGTCTTCAGGATTCACATTCGGAAGCCAGAAAATCTGAAAATCAAAAAATGGACAAAAACACAGTTCAGGAAAGCAATCACAAATCTGATTCGCTTTCAACTGCTTCCACAGCGGACAAGAGAAAAACAAATAACGAAAAAGTGGATCGCTGCGAAATAAATGGAAACTTTTCTGAGCGAAGCGAAGACCGCTGTAGTGGACTTGGGGATCAATCATTCGGAAATCCAGAAGCGCTTTCAGTAGAAAAGAATTTCCCAAAGTTGCAGAAGCCAAATTCTAGTGAAGCTTCCACTGATATTGCTACTA